GGCGGGGGCGGGGCCTGCGCGCCGCCGCCGCCGTTTAACGTACACCGGGGGGAGCGGGGGGACGGCGGTCGCTGAGGGGTCGGGGGAGGCTGGGTCGCGCCACCTCCTGTCCCCCCGGAGTGACAGGCGGCGTCCCGAGTCTTCGTGCTAATAAAATGGCGACACGTAGCAGGGGCCGCCTGTGCCCCAGGGCAGGGGTCGTTGCTCCGGGAGGCGGCGGGCAGCGGCCCTCAGTGGGTCAGCCATGGCGCCCTGGGGTTTACATCCCTGCGCCCACAGTACCCTCCACCCCAGCCGCGGGGCGGTGGATTGCGGAAGAGGAGTTTCCCCAGGCGAGGTCATTAGGTAGCACTCAACATTATGTCTAATAGCAGCAATATAGCGTATGTATTATTGGGTAGTGCTCATCAACAGCATGTATAATAGCAGTAATAACTCGGCATTAACTGAGTTTTGGCAAGGCCGTTGCCACTCCCTTTAGAGAAGGTTGTTTGGCAAGGACGATCACAGCATCCTCATGCCACCGTCGTTTCTCAGTGTTTTGATTGGCGTGGACTTGAGTAGTCACAGTGTTTTCTAGCAATAACCCATGGGATACAAAGCTTGAGATCATTTTGAGGTACCTGTTGGCTGAAGCTGATGCAGATCTTAATTAGTCCTTGTTCTGCTGATCAGGCAGGCCCAGGCAGCTTCTGAAAACTAGATTCTCTTGTTTGAAGAAATGAGTGACAGCTCATCTTTGAAGAAGCTGTAAAGCTGTACTTCCATGCACTGTGAACTGTTTTTTCCCTTGCTTTTATTGTAAGTGCTAGTTTTAATGAATATTTCTTACTTTTTCTTCTTCCCTTTGGAGGAAATGGAATTAGTCTAGATGCAGTAAATAGGAAGAAATGGAAGAAAGGAAAATCAAGAGGAGGAGCCCCAAATCATCTACCAGCCACCCTGCTCAGGTTGCTAACTCCAAGAAGAACTCAGTGCCAGTCAGTAAAAGTACAGCCTTTTCAAATCCTGCACCACAGCCTGCAGTACAGAAACCAAAGTTAAAACGGTAAGCTTGGGAGTGTCTTGCAAGCTCAGTGGAAGCGAGAGCCAGAAACCTGCCAGTGCTCGAACAGTCTAAAGGTTGTTTAGACTGATTGGGACAGAATGAAAAGAAAGGGCTTCAATCTTGTGAAAATTCTTGAAGATCTCTTATTTAGCAAAGCAATTTGTCTTTCATGCAATATAATGGTTATTTTAAAGAAAAGGAAGGTGCTCAATACTCTTTTTATAAGCTTTATAAAATATTACACAATGCTGTAGACTCCTACTGGTAGAAATTTAGCTGAAGTGATGATAGTCTGATGTGACTGGTGAAGGACTAGAGTTGGGTGATATGGCAAATGTGGGCATCATATGGGAGATAGCAGAGCCTTAGATGTACAGCTGCGAGGAACAAATAAAATACTCCATGGCTGCAAGGTTGGAACTGATAAGTGGAGCAGGAAATGAAGGACATAAATTGAACAGGATGAGCTAAAACTGGAATTTCCCAGTGTTTTTTGTTTGGGGACCTATCAAACTGGGGACTGGGGCAGCAGTAGCTCCCAGGCCATACTCATGTTCAGAGAGAGGCATTCAGCTCATCAGAAAGTACCATTTTGGAGTAGTTTGTGGTTATTGATGATACATCTATTTCAGTTTGACAGTGTTAATTTTCCTGCATGTTAGAAAATGTAGTCCTTGGCCATGGCAGATACAGCAGATAAATGAGTGAAGAGGGATATTAAAGTGAAATGTTAGAGAGAGGCAGATGAGTTTATTGGCGTTCAATACTGAACTGTCATCACAGACAGTCTGTTTGAAGGATTCAGTACTGACCTGACAAATAATGAATTGCTGCAGTGTAAAGTCTATACATTATTTTTCAGAGAAAATGTGTTTTTTCTGAGGGGTTTGAGATTTTGAGGGAAATATTAATAAATACCAGTGTGCTAGAAATCGGTGGTTTCTACAGCTGACTGTACAGTTTACTTCAGTCTCAACATTATTCTGGAACGTACTAGAAATTAATTTCTTGTAGCTCACAATATTGGCCAGAGAGGAAAATGTCCTTTTTGCTTTAAGTTTTGGAAAAGGAAATTCTTGCTCAGTTGTTAAGTCAAGCTTACCAAACAGTGATAATACAGACAATTTCTCAAACTTTCCAAGCAGGAGTGGTAATTGACATGACAATGTGAGGATGAACTGCTGTTAAGGATAGTGGAGTAGGAATATCTAATTAATTTCATCCCTTGGTCTGCAAGAATCTAATGAAGTAAGTTTTCCAGGAGAGGTAATATAGTGTATTAAACTTCAGATAGAGGTTGAAAAAACTGATGACCTTTCTGGCATATAAATCTTTCTTTAAGTCTGAAATTGAAGCAGAAATAAAAGTTAAACCTAAATAGAGACGTTTTCCTCTGAGTTGAACCAGATATGATAATTGTTGGATTGTTAGTTGTTCCAGCATGTAGACTATGTAATTTGTACGATGTTTATAGACTACAGAAGCTGTTAGGCTGTAAAAATAATGATTATTTCACATATGAAAGAGAATTTATGACTTGCAGAACATGGGAGTATTCAAGGGAAGGGTGGGGCTTACTGTGCTGTAAACCTTCTATTATCTTCACTAATTAAATAAAGTGTATTTACTAAGCCTGTGATTTTTTAAAATATTCCATAGTATGCTAAATTTTAAATTTTAGGCTCAAAGTTTTTCACTGAATCAGGTTCTGAACAGACTCACCATGAGGCTGCAGAAGCAGCCATGTCAGTGTGAGAGAAAGGCTGCGTGCATGCATGGATAAGCAAATCAGGGATGAAAACAGCCCCTTAACAGAGTTGTATTAGGTTAGGATACAGTCTGTTTGTCCATCTGTCTGTCTCTGGGTCAGAGATGGAATATGCTGCTTCGCACTGTTAGTTGTGTGTTTAGCTTCCCTATCGATTGCGTGTTCATTTGGATTTATGGTTATTCATTTTCACCCATGTAGTTTCTCTGGGCACATGGTGCGCTCAATAAATTTTATGTCCAGAGAAAAATGTATGAGATCCAGGAATTTTGGTGGTTTTGTTGCAGAGGGGGCTGTAGAGAATTTTTAGGACATTTAATGTTTGTTTGGGCATGGACTAGTTCCATTTGGTATGTGTTAGAATACTGGGAGATTGCTTTTGATAGTGAATTTTACAAAACTGGGATGTTAGTTGAACGTGGGAAGGAAGACCTCTAGCAAAATTTACCTGGAGGCAAGGTCTCCTTCCTGCATAGGTTATAAAAAGTTATTTTCCACAGTGGTTGCAGTCTATAGGTGTTTGTGACAACAGGAGTGTTTGATTGTTGAGGATTTTTCTTTCTGGCTTAAAGAGTTTGCAGATGCTTTTTTATGTAGATAATGCCCCATGTGACATTGTTGGGTAATGGTCCTCTTTAGATTACAAAGGTGTGTACATGTGTGAGCCACTGATGTTTCCCAGTGTTAGTAGGAAAACAGATTGTTGGAATCCATTTTGCAGTATCAAACTGTCAAGACAGTGATGATGTTCTTTATTCTTAAGACAAATCAGTAATCCATTTTTTAACTTAAAAGGAGCAATTGAAATTTTCCATTTAATTTTCAAAGCTCAGAGGTACATTTACATTTCAGATTCTCAGTGAAACTGAAAGCAGGAAGTAATTTTTTTTTCTTTTATTTTTTTCCCCAGTGTAATAAAAGAGAAAGCCAAACCTCCAGGGGGTGAAGCAAAAGGGGCACAGGCAGCACCAATCCAGCATTCTTTTCTCACAGATGTATCTGACGTGCAGGAAATGGAGAGGGGACTTCTGAGTCTCCTGAATGACTTCCACTCTGGCAAACTTCAAGCATTTGGTAAGTGCATCAATTGTCTGTATACAATAGTTGTTATTATAGCTATATGATAGTAACATTTACAAACCAGTGCACTGTGTGGACACACTGCCAGGTTGTCATACTGGACTCTCCCCTATGAAATTAATTTCAGTGTAATTAATCCATCTTACTGCATTTTTACATTATAGTCCTATCGTAAGGTTGGCTTGGTGGGAGATGATTCAAGTGCCATTTCGTTGTTCCTTCCAGCATGGCTTACCAAAGGCAGTACCTTGGCTTATGGATTTAAGATACCAAGTTTAAAGCCCTTATTGGTGATAGTATAGGAATAAGAAGAAGTTACTGTATTTAGCACCTGATTTTGGTTTAGTAACACTGTTGACCATTGGTAACAACTTTTATGGAATACAATGCAAGTTGCATTTTACCCAGCTTACTCTCCTTTCTTAGCATTTTCTATTCTTCACCGTTGATGGAAATTTCAGAAAAAAACGGACACTCTTCTGCTTCTTTTTTTTCCCCTGTACTAAGTAGAAAGGTTTACATGTGCTTTTGCAAGCTTACTGTTAGGTCAGCATGTCATGTTAATTTCACACTGATTTTACAAGAGAACATGAAAAGTCTGTCTTATATAAAGCATCAGTTACAAGAAAGAAACCCACAAGATTAAACAAAATTAGAAAGAAGATTTATTGTGATCATATTTAAAGTCAAAAACAAGGGTCGTCTTCAGTTGGAGAGAAATTCAGGAGTATAGAAAAAAAGAAATTGTATATTCTAAAAACCAGTTAGGACATTCAGTAGTTATTGTAAATTCAGCACAACACAACACCAGACAGGATGACAGAAACTTCAGGAGTGAAGTTTCAGTACGGAGAAATCACTGAGAAAGCAAATTAATTTGTAAATTTGATGTTTAAATACCTCGTCTGATGTAAAAAGCTGCATCTTCACACCTTTATTTGCACTCTGGTTTCTTTATCTAAAACTATTGCTCATCCTTCTAGGAAATGAGTGTTCCATAGAGCAGATGGAGCATGTGCGGAGTATGCAGGAGAAACTTGCTCGCCTCAATCTGGAGCTTTATGGCGAGCTGGAAGAACTCCCTGAAGATAAAAGAAAACTAGCCAGTGACTCCAACCTGGATAGGCTGCTGTCAGATGTAAGTGCAGGGAAGGCAAAGCACACGGAACTTTGCCCACAGCTCAGGAAAACACCACTACGGGGCAGGTAGAGATTTACAGTTGAGAACACAGTTGTGTAATGAACCGAGATGTAAGCCCTGCCCTGATCTTGGTTTTGAGAAAACACAGTACCTTGGTTTCTTTTTTTTTAAACAGGCTGCTGCTTGTTTGGGTGCGTGGAACAGTCTAGCTGTAAACTGTCCAAGGATGTAGGCCTACTTAGAGACAGCCCACGTACCAGGGGACTACAACCATTTTCCCTGTGATCCATCCTCCTACGTCTGGGGAAGACCACACATAACAAAGGAAATTAAATCTATTCTACACTTTCAAATTTCTCCTTCCTCTAGCGTATTTCTATAAAAACCCAAAACTGTTCAAATTTCTTTAAATTTCCTGAGATCAGATTTAAACTTAATTTGGGACTTAGCTCTGTTGGTGTAGAATTCAGTGTAGGTTTGCTTTGCTTTTTCTAAGGAGATAATGCATTTCAGCCCAAACTGTTAAGTGATTTTTTTTCCATTGTTTTAATGGATTTATTTCATCATATCAGCACCTGTTGCATTTATTTGACTGAAATGCTATTTCTGATACTTTCTACATTTATATTACAGCTAGAAGAATTGAACTCATCTATGTATCCTTTTCCTTAAATGTCTGTTTTGCATTATTATTAACTGAACTGGTGTCTTTACAGGAGTCAAATAGCTTCAGTAATGTCCTTCCTTTTAAATTAGTATTGTAATACAGCATGGACTGCGAGTTCTTCAAATACATAAATGATTGGATCTTAACACTTTTAATTGCAGGCCATTTTTTCATGTGGTGACATGTTTAGCTAGCATGTTCCGCTTCAGACAACGTGGTGACAGTCAGTGGCAAAGCCCTGCAGAACCAGGGTCTTCCTACATGGATCTTGCTGAGACATTCTGGAACAAATGTATATAGGAATATTCCTTTTATAGCATTCAGAAGTGTTCTGTCCCATTGATAAGTGAATCCTATTACCTTTTATTTTTTTCTAGAAATATGTGCAGCTGTTTATCACTGATTTTACTGTGAACAGTGGACTGACCTAATTTTTTACTTCTAGGGTCAGACTATGGTTGAGTCAAATACTTCAGCATTGGTAATTGAACAAATGTGTGCTCTTAGCCCACCCAGAAGAAGATAAAGCTCAATGTTTTCACTTATCTTTACATCATGATAAGCTAAGAACACAGTTGAGGAGTGTTGCATTCAGTTTAGACTGCAGTCTAGTTATCTCTGTTACACGTCATTTGTGTGCATTGAGGAAGGTGGGACTGGTTTGGGACTTCAGACACTGCGCTGGTACATACATTCTCTGAGTCTGGGGAAAGCTGTTGAAGACTCAGGCTCATAAAGACATAAACAAAATGTGGTAATAATATCACAGTGACAAAAATAATCTACCATCCCCCTTGATCTTCCAGCTAGTTCTGGAGGTGTGTAATGCTTAAGTCTCATCAAGGAAGAGTAATTGACCAGTTGAGGATTAGCATAGGACTTCATAGACATGAATTCATCTGGCCAGGTGCATATCCATCACTGGACCAAGCACAGGTTCGTGTAACACTGCCATCTTGTGTATACTTAGCTATATGTGAAAATATTGTTCCTTAATTGTTTGTTTCAGTCAAAAACTACATTTAGCAGATGCTCAAGATATTCCAAATGGTGCCACAGGCTGAAAGAACAGCTTTGTCAATTTGGATTCTCCCAGAAGCTTTTCTTTTGTTTTTCCTGACAGTGGAATCTGGAACAGTTGCGGTTTTGTGGTGTTTGGTTTGTTGGTTTTGTTTTTTTTAAACTTCACACAATGAAGAATCAAAGTGCAAATCCAAGCGTTTATTTTTGCACATTCCTCTTTGAGCACTGCATAATGTCAGGACTCAGTATATAGAGTTTGATGTAGGCTATTATGTTGCTATGCTTTTATTATTGCCTTATTTAATAGAAAAACTGGGGAAGCTTGGAAGTACATTTCTTCTGCTTAGTGTTGTTCATGTGTTTGAAAACAATATAAGTTCATTAGCACTTCTCCAGTTTTTATGAAGGTAGTGATGATGTTGCCTTTCTGATCAGTATCTAGACAATCTGCACACTATATCTTCACTATTTTGTTGATCAGTGATGCCACAGATTAATTTATTGTTAATAAAGTAAAATATTTTAAATATGTTTCATTTAGAGAAGTTGCTATCTGTTCAGCTGTGTTAAGAAGATAAGAGTTCTTGCATGGTCTGAATGTTTGTAGAGTTTACTTTTTTTTTCATTATTGTGACTAATGAAATGTCACTAAATTAGAACTAGCCTGCGTGGTAGCAGTCCACATAATTTGATTAAATATTGTGAAATTCCAAAACTGGGTAAACAGTTGTTCAATAAATCCAGTATATGCAATTGTGTAGTCATCCCTATATTATAAATAGTCTGGTATGAGTTGGTATCATCTTTATGTTCTTTCTGGGCAGATATGGGAGTGCTTTGTCCACATAAAGGCTCAAGCTGCTTATGAGAAATAAAAACTCCTGTTTTCATGTGGACAATTTCCCCAACTATTCTCTCCTGTAAATATCAATTAACAGGAGCTTTGAGGGTATGTTCTTCTAGAAAGGAGTTTATCACAGGAAAGCTGGGCACAGAGCTCACTTCTTAAAGATGAAGATGGCAGCCAAAATTGGCCTAGACTACACCAAAGCAGACGAGGATGCCAGCAGGCTTACTGTGTGTTAGGGTTGTTCTAACTGTACTCACATTTCATCACTGCTCATGTGAGCGAATCTGGTGCTTCATGTCAGATGTGACATACACGAATCAGTTCTTTCTGTATGCAGACACTGAGTTCTGAGTTCAGACACTGTTCAGGATTACTAACACAGACAAGGAATACATTTCTTTCTAATTACAAATAATTAAAGTCACTGTCAGTGATCTATGCCTTGGGCATCTCACTATTGTCATCACAAAACATGGGCTTTATCACAGCTCTCTTCACTTGCTATAAAAACCAGATATTTAATGTGAAGGAGTACATACCAAATCCTTGACTGACTGCCCAGAAGCACCAACCAGCATGCAGCATAAAACATCCAATAGCAGGAACAGGGCATCAGAGCAGGCCTCATGTAACAACTGCACTGTAAATGAAGAGATTTTTTGGTTAGACCTGTATCAATAAAGCAGAACAATCTAAACAACAGTTACAGGATTCAGCTGTCTCACAGTGAGGAGTTGAGACAGCCTACTGATTGTTAGAGGGGATGCAAACAAGCTGCACGTCAGCTGGCATGTTTTAATTTGTAGGTGCCAACCTAGAAAGACTTCACACTAGTTGCATGTTTGTTTCTTTGCTCTTAAGAATGCACTGCTATTGCTATATCATATTTTATAATTTCTTTAAAACTGTTGAAAGCTTGCAGGAAAAAATACTACTCTAAATCATACCCTTTCAGCTTTGCTTTTGAAGAAGCAGGATTTTTTTTTTTTAATTTGGCAGCAGAAAAACTGATTGTATAACTCTTTAAAGAATAATGCTCTAGATGTTCAAATTACTGGAGCTAATTTCAACACAAAATATAAATCAACTTTCAGAATGCAATGATTCATAAGGGCAACAGTATATGGCACATAAGAAACAGCATCAAAAATGCAAATATGTGTGCTCACATGATTTGAATTTTGGTGCACAAACACCTTGATAGAGGAGCTCAATTTCTCTCTTCATTGTAATTGACTAGCTGAAACATCTTAGCCTTCTGATGCAGCAGTGACTGTTGTCTTCTGCACCAGAAGCACTTCCAGCAGACACACTGTAAATTCAATGTCTTTAATTTAGCGGAAACCATGAGGGTTTTATCCTAAGAATGTGACTGAAATTTAAAGTTGGCAGGAGACTTGGTTTCTAAGGCAAGGCAATGTCTTTTAAGTTCCAGATTGTCCTGAAAAAATTGTTCTCAGAAGCTCATGAAACCACCTCATCAGATGTAATTTAAACCTACAGCCATGGATTCAGAAAGGCAAACAAAAGACAGTGGTCTCCTCGAAGCAGCCTAGCACTCAAGAGGCTGCTAGTCTGAAATGGAAAACTTGGTAGCCATTTCTTAATTTTTGTCACACACATTTCAAAGTTTTAGCCCCTTGGGCTAAATGTACCTTGGAGAAGATAAAAGTATGCCAAGCATGGATTTGCAAGAAAAACGATTACCAGTAATTTGTACTTTACAAACATCAAAAGTGTGGTTTTAAACTCCCTGCTCCCCATATGACAACAGCACTTGGAAAAGGCTTTCTCTGCCATCCAGCCCACTAAAACATGGTATAAACAGAGTGGCTGAACTGCCTAAATTCATAAATCTGCAGTCCCACATTATTAGGTAATGAAGTTAGGTTTTCTGCCAGAAAAGTTGGGTCTTCAATAGCAAACGAAAAACATGTTAGAACAGAACACATTATTATGTCTGTAAATGTATTTAGCCAAAGAACCACTGGTGAGCTGGATCAGGAGTAGAACCACCACTCCAAAAGCTCTCTTTGGGTAGGGTTTCAGGAATATTTTCAAGCCTCCAAAATCGTGCATGCTTGAAAAAAATCCAGCCTGATCCAGGGCTGTAACCCTGCACATTAGGCGCTACTGACTCTTCACTCATTGTTCCTAGTGGAAAAGTAACAAATAGCAGCAGGCTGTGACATTAGAAGATTTTTTACAGCATGAAATATTTTGTGTCTTGGAACTATCCAACACTTCAACATGATCATCACATCTCTTTTGCATGGATATATGTTTAGGCTGGCAGGCACTGTCTTTACACAGAATTTGAAAAATATTGAAAAGATGCCACTAACACAGCTCCCTCTCTAGTAGGACATTATCAGGGAAATAATTTTTTTGCCTCTAATCTCCAGCTCACTTCAGATTTAACTCCATAAAATAAATGCCTTTGCAACAACATGAGGATGCTAGAAGGAGGGAACCCAACAATGCCATTACTAGAGTCCCTTGCAGAGCCTGTACATGCTCTGGTGTCACCCATTCTAGATTTTGCATTGCATTGCTGTAGTGGCACCACTTCACATCACCAGCGTAGAGTCACCATGTCCTTGTACATGTGCACGTGGTTTCTGCATCTGCAGTAGTGAGGTGATGCCACTACAGCAGTGCAATGGAAAATCTAGAGGTGACAGACTCCCCCCAAGGCTGGGAGAGGACACAGCCAGGAGAGCTGACCCCAACTGACAAAAGGGATATTCCCGAGGTGAGCAATAAAAGCTTACAGGAAGGAGGAGAGGAGGATGTTTGTGGTTATCCTGTTCGTCTTCTCAAACAACTGCTATGTAGTGTGCCAAGTCCTCACTTCCCTGGAAATGGCTGAACACCTGCCTGCTGATGGAAACATGAATCGCACATAACAAGAACAGATTTTAGGTGAGGGGTCAGTTGAACTTGGTCCAATAAAATTGATGCAGGTAAAACAGTATTTCTTAATACCTAGAGGAAACAATAGCTTAGTTATTTCACTATCTGTTCACACTTAACAACTTTGTTGTGCTATACATATTTACACAATGTTTAGTTAGATGGTTGTCCCTGGCTCTGATGCCAAGGCATTCCTCTCTTCTCCCTAGACTGGAACCCTTATTAGCAGCATCTTGTGATAAGCAACTGCTGAATACAGAAACTACTTGCAGAGACTGTAAGCAGTACTAGGTGAAGTTTTTTTCTTCTGGTCAGCAGTACAATGATCAACACCCCAACCAGAGTAGCTCTAGAACTTAGATTGCCAAGCTAGGAGACAAGAAGAGAGCAAGGGATTCTCAACTGGCAATTCTCACCATTTTTCTGTACAAAAGGCCTTAAGCAAAACCGAGCCTGAATTCCTGTGCCAACTAACTCGGATTTTTCCTTTTAAAACTACCAACCATCTGCCTGCTCCCCAGTGAATGGCATACTCCAGGTGTATCCTGTGACTGGTGGTCTTGTCCTCAGACTAAGTACATGATGTCAGGATCCTGAAAAACAATAAAAATGAAAGCTGCACTTCATGACCTACAGCCAAGAAAATCAGTTTTAAATTAATACTTTTCCTAACGATCCATCTCAGCTAGGTTTTGAAAAACAGCGACACCTTTGCTAACACTTAGTAAGGGATTAAGGCCAACCATATTTAATGCAGTAAATATTAGTTTTCTGTAATAACAGTGTACTTTACAATTTGTTTAAGCAGGTCTCAGATTCTGGAATAACTGCAGGTATCTCTAATGCTATCTGGTTCTCTAGTCAGTTATGATAATTTCTGGCTTTTTAATTTTGTCCTAAACCAAGGTTTATATAAAACAGTTCTCACATTGTCTGTTTTTGACTAGTCAAACAATTGCTTGAAATGCTTTAGTTTTCCAATTCCTGAAATAAACAGTTTGACTATTAAAATGGAACATTTTTTTTAAAAGAATAGTGTTACTAGCTTAGCTCTTACAATTTAGCTCATTTCCTTTTGGTTTTGACCAGGAATCTGCAAGTTGTTAAAGCCTCATCAACCACTTTTAACACATGCAAATAGATACATTGGATGAGTACAGCTGTTTTATGAATTCTTCAACATAAACAACATGTAGGACTCACCATGTACAATGATGGGATAAGGACTACATTAATTCAAATATGTATCACATATTGAGACATATTTACAGGCTGGAGCCATGGGCTGAGGCCAACTGCAGGAGTTTCAATAAGACCAAATGCCGGGGGCTGCCCTTGGGCCACAACAACCCCCAGCAGCGCTACAGGCTTGGGGAGGAGTGGCTGGGGAGCTGCCAGTCAGAGAGGGACCTGGGGGGGTGATTGACAGCCGGCTGAACAGGAGCCAGCAGTGTGCCCAGGGGGCCAAGGCGGCCAATGGCATCCTGGCTTGTGTCAGCAATAGCGTGGCCAGCAGGGACAGGGAAGGGATCTGACCCCTGTACTCGGCACTGGGGAGGCCACCCCTCGATTCCTGTGTTCAGTTTTGGGCCCCTCACTACAAAAAGGACATTGAATGACTCGAGCGTGTCCAGAGAAGGGCAACGGAGCTGGTGCAGTGTCTGGAGCACAGGTCGTACGGGGAGCGGCTGAGGGAACTGGGGGGGTTTAGTCTGGAGAAGAGGAGGCTGAGGGGAGACCTCATCGCCCTGTACAGCTGCCTGAAAGGAGGTTGCAGAGAGCTGGGGATGAGCCTCTTTAACCAAGTAATAAGTGATCAGACAAGAGGGAATGGCCTCAAATTGCACCAGGGAAGGTTTAGACTGGATATTAGGAAGCATTTCTTTACAGAAGGGGTTGTTAGGTGTTGGAATGGGCTGCCCAGGGAGGTGGTGGAGTCCCCATCCCTGGGGGTGTTTTAAGAGTCAGGTCAACATAGCACTGAGGG